ATCCCGTACCGGGCTGGAGACCCTGTACCGGGCTGGGGGACCGGTACCGGGATGGGGACGCGTACCGGCTCCTGTCCCGGGGTGGGGGGCCCGTACCGGGATGGAGATGCCATAACGGTACCCGTAGCGGGATGGGGACCCGGTACCGGGATGGGGGACCTGGTACCGGCACCTGGCCCGGGATCGGGGCCCGGTAGCGGCATGAGGGACCTGTCCCAGCACCCGTACTGGGATGGAGATCCCATAATGGCATCTATTCCGGGATGGGGACCCGGTAGCGGCATGGGGTGTCCCGTACTGGGATGGGGGACCCATACCGGTATCTGTCCTGGGATGGGGGCCCGGTACCGGCGTGAGGGACTTGTCCCAGCGCCCGTACTGGGATGGGGAATCCCGTCCCAGCGCCCGTACTGGGTTGGGACATCCTGTACTGGGATGGGAGCTCTCGTACCGGCACCTGTACTGGGATGTGGACCCGGTACCAGGACGGGGTGTCCCGTACTGGGATGGGAGGTCCCATTCCAGCACCCATATTGGGATGGGGACCCGTTATGGGAATGGGGCATCCTGTACCAGAATGGGAGACTTCATGTCAGCGCCTGTACTGGGATGAGGGCCCAGTACTGGGATGGAGATCCCCTACAGGCACCCATGCTGGGATGCGAGCCCAGTACCGGGATGGGGTCTGCACTGGGATGGGGGTCCCACACCAGTGGGCACCCATACCAGCACTGGGGTTTGATCCCGAGAGCAGGGTGTCAAGTTGGTACCTGTACCAGGATGGAGAAACCCAGAGTGGGATGGGGGTCCAAGACTGGAACTGGTGTCCCATGCTGGTACCTGAACTGGGAGGAGATCCTGCACCAGGCTGGGGGTCCCGTCCTGGCACCCACGCCGAGGGGGGGGGTCCCACACTGATGCCTGTACCTGGCAAGGGATGGGGGAGACCTGGGGGTCCCCTCACCAGGAGGGTGTTAGACAACCCTGTGCAGGGGGACCAGGGACCCCCCAGTCCTGTCCCAATGGCACCCAGGGGAGACCCTGACCCCCTTCGGGTGACCGCACGGCGCCTCAGCCCTGCTTCACCCACCAGGACCCCTGGCCTGGGGACCCTCTCTCCTGCTGGGGTGACCCCTGCTGCACCCCGGGACCCTGGCGCTCCAGGCACCCCGACCCCACGGGGGTGTTCCTCAGCCCACCCCCTGCCCCAGCACCCTGGGCACATGCTGCCCCTTGCCCTCCCTCCTCATCCTCATCCTCCCGCTGCCCAGCGGGGCCCTGCCCCTCCAGAGACCCCCATTCCCCTTCCCAGCCTGGAGGTCACCCACCCTCTGTTCCCGGGCTGGGGACAGCAGCAGGAGGCCTGAGTTTGGGGAGGGGTGGGGGACAGAGCCGGGGTCCGGGGCTGTGTCCCTTGGTGGGGACGGGGGGGACACACGCGCCGGGGACAGCGCCTGGGTGCGATGCGTGCGGGGGGCTGCGGCTGAGCGCTCGTGAGGTGCGGGATCAGAGGGTGCCGGTGCAGTTTGGGGGGGTGCGGATGGAGTGATGGAGCGCGTGTGGTAGGGGACGACTGGTCCCGCTGGCCAGGTGACAGCGTTGTGCCGTGGTGGTGCCTGGAGGAGACCCGGAGGAGTGGGCAGAGCGGGGGCCGGTGTAGGATGTGCTGACCGGGGGAGCACGAGGCGTCTCTGGGGCTCGGATGGGGGTCTGTGGTGGTCCCCAGTGGCGGCCGAGGGCGAGGCGGGTTCATCTGCTTGAAGGTGTCCGACGGCAAGAGACTGGCAGGTGGAAACTGTGTGGGATAGGGGCCGGCAGGTACCGGGGAGGCTCAGGGTGCCGGAGACAACGATGCTTGGCTGCACCACGCCGTGAGATCTAGGATGCCGTCCCCACGCTGTCCTGGCTGGCCTGGCGCCGAGAGGACTCGGTCGTTCCAGGAGAGCCCTCGCGCTGCCGGCGTCTGCAGCCCCTCCTGCTTTAGCTCGCTTGCTCTTTTGGGGAAGGCTTTCCCCTGCCCCGAAGACCTCCCCAGCACGCGGGGCAGCCCCTGCAGACCCCGAGGCTCCCGCCTGCGGCTCTGCCCGCAGCCCAGACCACGTGGAGCAGACAGACGGGCGCTGGAGCCGGCGCATGGGAAGAAGATGGGGTGGCCCACGCGTCCCGCTGGCAGCGGGGCTTTTTCTGCGGCCGGTCTCCAGCCAGGAAGGACCCTCAGGCCGCCCCGTTGGAGCAATCGCCCCCCACCCCGGGCTGGAGGGGGCTTCGCTCGGGCGTCCCCCCCCAGAGGCAGCCCGTGCGATGGATCTCTGGGGAGTAGCACAAGGCCCGCATTTCCCCGGGTGTTGAGCCCGGCAGCAGAGAGACAACCTTGCGCCGAGCTCTAGCCGTAGAGCATCCGTGCCGGATCCCTTCTGTTACTCTTCTAGAGATCCCACCGGGCCCCGACGCCGCAGTGGGACTCTTGTCCGTAGCAAGGTCCCCATCCGGGTGCTTTCTTGCCGTGCTTGCCTCCAGGCGGGTGCGGGTGCCGGAGGCCGACGCTGCTAGCCGGGGCTGACGTGCCTCGCAGAGGACGTTCTCAAGCCGCTCTCTCTGACCACCTCCTGCTTTGGGTTTCCTTTCAGATCGATGACATCGCGGACGGCGCTGTGAAACCCCCACCGAACAAGTACCCCATCTTCTTCTTCGGCACCCACGAGACGTAAGCGCTGCCTCGCTCCCCTCTCTGGGCTTTGCCCCGCTGCCTCTGCTCCGGGCTCACCTCTGCTTTGTTTCTCTCCAGCGCCTTCTTGGGCCCTAAAGATCTGTTCCCTTATGAAAAATATAAAGACAAATATGGGAAACCAAACAAGAGAAAAGGCTTCAACGAGGGATTGTGGGAAATCCAGAACAACCCTCACGCCAGTTACAGTGCCCCTCCGGTGAGTGCGGCCTCGCGCGTCGGGGGGGCAGCGAGGACGTGGGCTGCCGGCGCCTCCATCTCTCCTTTCCTCCAAGTCGCTCTCCTCCTTTTCTGCTTCTCATTGCTATGGTGCCGATGCACTTCCAGCTCGCAGATCGGCTTTCTCAGGGTTGAAGTAGCTTCCCTTCCCTGCCCTCTCCCTTCCTGAGGGGCTCAGCCCTCCTCCTCTTCCTCCTCCTCTGGAGGAAGATGCCTTTGCCCCATCTTCAAGGTGGAACTGGGGATGTGCTTTGTGCCACTTGCC